GTATTGTTATTATTATTATTTTTTTTGTAAATTTTAAAAAAATAAATAAGAAATGAGAGACAAAACTCAAATAAAAAATAAAAACAACGAAAAGGAGAAATAAAAGAGAACAGAGAAATGGAAAATGGAAATAGAAAACAAAAAAGGAGGGTTTGGACCCTTTTTTTAATTTTTTTTCCTTTGTTATCTAATCGCACGTTCAGCTTAGCATGAGCAAAACAAGAGAAGTTCAAGTCGTTTAGCCCTTCTAAACCCGCTTGACTAGCGCCCGAACGATGTTGCTCAAGTCCAGTCCCCTAAAGACTCAAAGCGTCGCATATTGTTGATGTGTCACATCATTTTTAATAAATATTTGATGTTCGGTATTGTTATTATTATTTTTTTATAAATTTTAAAAAAATAAATTAGAAATGAGAGAGAAAACTCAAATAAAAAATAAATAAAAAAAGAAAAGGAGAAATAAAAGAAATTCCTTGAAGACTCAGAGCATCGCGTTAAATGTAATGTTTAAACAACATCGTTGGCGCCCAACCAGCGCCTGAACGACGTCGTTCAAGTCCAGTCCCCTGAAGACTCAAAACAACGCACTAAATGTAATGTCTAAACGACATCGTTTCAGCAAATTAGGGAAACACCGTTGTTAGATTAAAATGGTGATCTTCAACTATAAAAAACAGGGAGCTTGCAAGTGAAAGGAAGAGGGTTGAACAAGTTGGGCCGAAGAGCGATATCATAAAAGCAGGGGAGAGAATCCAAACATGAGGTCGAGAGAAAATCTTGAAATATTGATTTGTTTTTGTCTTTTTTTCTTGTTTACTATTTCATTTTTTTCCTTTAGTATTCTTCTCCAATTGAGTAAATAAGAATTGGTTAAGACACCAACTAATATTTCATTTTCAATTTTGAGAAATATACCTTCATTGGTTTTTGGTTCCGCGACAAGCTCATAATAACCTGTTTTACTTTAAATATTTTGGAGGTGTTTTGTTGGGCATGCCTTTATTTGAGGTTGGCCCAAGGAAGTGTACACTTTCTATATAATATATGTCGACCTTCATGTAAGGGCTTAGAGCATTTTGTACTTATGTGATAAAAATGTCATTTCATTATATCCAATATTTTTTTTATGGGTCACATCGAATTATTTGGCTCAGTTAGAGCTTAATCAATGAACCTTAACTTGTTTTGAATACTCAGAGCTCGTCGTATGGATCTAGCCCAAGTGTAATAGTTGCTTCCGTCAAGCAATTGTAGAATTATTGTGTCTATAATATGGACTATCAATATTTAAAGGATCTAAATATGTTTTGTTTTAAATATTAAGGCTTTGGTTTGATGGATCTAAGTTTTTTCAGATGAAAATAATAAGGCCTTGATTTGTCATGCTCATGTTTGAATAGAAGTATTCTATCTCTACCAGTACTCTGGATGAGTGGTCGTCTCTTTCATAGACTCCCAATCACAATACAATAAACCAAATGTATCATTTAAACATACTCTCTTTTTTTCTTCTCTAGTTTGAATCAACCTAGTCGAAACATATTTCTTTTCTTGGTGTTTAGATCAAGCCGGTCAAAATAGTGGGTTTAAATCAAGCCAACTTCTTATTGAATTCTCATTATAATACCATGTAAGAAAAGAAACTTTTTTCTTTTATACACTTAGAAGCCCTAGATTATACTTTATACATGCAACAGAAAAAATAGAGGATAATTAGTGGGTAATACCTCTAGTATGTTGGTGAAGAGTGCACTTGAAAAAGCGCGTGAGAGAGAAGCACGAACATCTGCAAAAGAGAGAAGAAAAAAACCCTATGGTTTTTGGTTGTCAACGACAGAGAGAAGGAAAGAAAGATTACAGGAGGCTTCAAGGAAGAAGAATAGGCTCTAATATCAACTAAGTATCTTCCAGTGAAACGTATGAGAAGTCTAATACTAAGGAGCATTAAGTTCTAACCAATAAGCAATATAATCAGTTAATGAACTTCATTCAACATATTCAATCTTCAACCAATATGGTATCTTCCTCAAAATACTCACAAGAATTGAGTTCAGGAGGGTTCTCAGCTATGTGTTTATGTTATAATGTTTATTCATTAAAACAATGTGAAAAAATGCGTGTTCAGTACATGATTAACAATGGAGCATCTAACCACATTATTCATACCATAATTATATGTTGAAATCACTTCAAACATCATTTTCAAAGTTTTATTATCTAATGATGTAATAGTTGATGTGTCACATGTTGGAATAATCAAATTGAATAAAAATAGTTCTTAATAAAGTGTTGTGTGTGTACCATCACCTAATTCAATCAAATTGAATTAAGCTCAAGTACTATTGAGTACTCCAAGATTAAAGGGGGACTCAAGAAATATATCATAGAAATAGCATCATATGAAGAGTCTAACTCGTTTGAAAAAGCCAACAAGAATGATAATTAGAGGAAGGCAATGTAATTTGAGCTTAAATCACTAGAAGATAATAAGACATGGAGGATTGTGACCCTTCTTGCAAGAAAGAGGACCATTAGGTGCAAATGGGTCTACAAAATCAAGTTCAAAGCAGATAGGTCCATTAAAAGATACAAGATAAGGTTAATAGTGAAAAAATACACCTAAAGGGAAAGTTTAAACTGCGACAACACTTTCTCACCAGTGATTAAGACAACCACTTTTATGACAATGCTTGCCTTGGCGAAAGTGAAAGGTTGGCATCTCAAGCAATTCGATCTCAATAATGTTTTCCTAAATGACAATTTAGATGAAGAGGTATACATGTAATTCCCTCCAGGGCACCCCATAAATAGAGAAGGAAAAGTAAGTAAGTTAAAAAGACTCTTTATCAACTCAAACAAGCATCTAGATAAATGGTATGCTAGATTTTCATATTTCATCAAGTAAGGATATAATAAGTCCAGCGAATACTACAGTCTCTTTATGAACAAATGTTGTAAGAATTTTGTTAGCCTGCTCGTATATATAGACGATATAATAATTATTGGTGACAATGTTAAAATAATAGGTGAACTAAAAAAAAATTAGATAAAACATTTAAAATCGATGATCTAGCAAATTTGAAATACTTCATTGGAATTGAGATTATCAAATCTATAAATTGAACATATATTTGTCTAATAAAATATGCATTATTTTTGTTTAAAGATATAGATGTTCATAGAGGGAGAATTTTTATACTACCTTTGGAGTATAATAGTAAATTATTTATAAATACTAGAGAATCTAATGATATACAGAATGATGATTGGTAAGCTTATGTACTTAACATTAACTAGACCAATTTTGTCAAACTCAATTCACATGTTGACCTAATTAATGGAAATCCCTAGTAATGATCACCTAAATGTTGTCTATAAGGTACTAAGGTACATAAAAGGAAATTTTAGTGGATGTTTATTTTACCTTTTCTCTTCTAATTCGAAATTAAATGATTAATAGTGATTGAGCAAGATGTCCTTATACAAAAAGATCCATCACAGGATATTGTGTACTTCTTAGGAGGTCCTAATATATCTTGAACATCAAAGAAGCAATCGACTGTCTCTAGATCTTTTGCAGAAGAATAATATAAAGTAATGAGAAGTATATGCTCTGAATTAACTTGGATTAAATATCTCCTGTAGAGCCTTAGATTCAGAAAACCCTTTCGCATAACTGCCAACCCTGTTTATCAAGAGCACACAAAGCATATCCAACTAGACTATTATATGATAAAAAAAAAAGATTCAGAATATAAGTGTGATAATAAAACACGTTAGCAGTAATCAACAACTAGCAGACATCTTCACCAACGCCTTGTCTAGTTGGCTGCTCAAGCAATATATGATCAAGATGGGATCAGAGAGCATCTACTCTCTATCTTGCAGGGGGGATATTATCACGCCATGGCCCATTTGGTTCGTCGCTAGTAGGCCCTCAGTCAAAGTTTGAGTCATTTGGGTTGTGGTTTGTGAGCCCGAAAAAAAGGATCGAACATCAGAACGCATCGTTTCACTTAAGTTGAGGGAGTGATTTCACGCTACATTGGGTGTATGTAAGCTTGGTTTGGGTTGGGTATAAATATACATCTTCCCTTAAAACCTCAATCTTTCTTTCCTTCTCTTGGCCGCCGACATTCAGAAACTCCAGGATTTATGTTTTTTTCTCTCTTTTGTAGGTGTTCGTGCGCCACTTCAAATACACTTTTCACCAATAGAGTAGATGTATTATCCACCACTTATCCTCTCTTTTCTCACTGCAATATACTGTTATAAAGGATAATTTAGGGCACCTGAGTGTATAAAAGAAAAAAGGCTTGTTTTCTCATAGTTCCAAGAAAAAAAGGCTTGTATTCAGGTCTTGAATACACAACCTCCTTGTCACTTAATGGAATCAAGAGATTACTGCATGAAACAAAAAAAAAAAACAAAAAACAAAAAACAAAAAAAAAGGGAACCTACTAGACACTGGAAAGAGATAAACAAGAAGTTGACTTTTGAAAGTTGAAAGGTGAAGAAACTTATTGGTCGAGGATGTGAAGACTGAACTGAACACCTGTTAATTTTTGAAATAACAGTAATTTTTAAAAATAATTTGTCAATATTTTGTGCTTAACTTCTTGATTAGGCACCTGTTACAAAGGATATGAATAAAGAAAAAAGGGGATAATCTGATAAAAATATGGTAAAGAAAATCGCAAAAAAAATGAAGAGAGTTGAAACAAGTCGCGATCATGGTTGCACCAACTCGGTCTTGGTAGCGTCAAGAAAAGCATCAGACTTGGTATTTCTAATTTTCTTAATTTAAAAAATCATTAATTCTTAAATCGTATGATTTCCCGCCATTTTCCCCTGCATAATCTATAATAATGATGCTACAGTTAATATACTGCCGGGAGAATTACGTTCATGCCACAGAAAAGGACAATTAGAGGCGGACAGAATCTTAGCAGGACTTGAAATCAAATATTCCACTTTCTTATTATAATCATTTGTTAATTAGCCGACTATCTGTTTGTCAATTTTATTCAATCAAAACAAACAGTATTTGAAGAAATCAAACTTTGACTTTAGGATACTATGATCTGCTGAATTCTGCTGAAGGGTGATCCGTCTCTTCGTTGATTGATTGATCAAGCAAAATTTCAGACACTTATAAGGAGGTCATGTTTCTGAATTTAAATTGCCTAGTAGATTTTTGGTCTATTTCTTCTTGGAGCAGAGCTAAGAGTTGGGAAGTTAGGAATCTTCTGGGGAAATAATCATTTCCAAGTTGATGGGTCTGCCAGAGCTATACGTTATCTGAACTTCATGGTTAAATATCGTAGTTAAATGTGGTATTGGTGGGTTTTTCAGGCAGATGGAAGTTACGTTCTAAGGAGGAGAGCAAAATAAGTAATGATAGGGACAAGGGAATAATTGGATGATTCTCTTGTAAACCCAGAAGAGTGAGAGGGAAAGGAGCTTCATGGAACCGGAAGAAGGGGAGAGTTTAGACATGTATAGAAACTCAAGTGAGGAGTTGTTCTTGAAATTGCTAATGGAAAGCTCGGTTGGGATGCCAGCACCTACCATGGAGATGTTGGGTTTTAAGAACCTTTCTCAGAGTTTTCGGACAGATAGCGAGGAACTCTTCAAGAGCTGGCTCAAAAATGGAGAGGCAAGCACCTGTAAATCCTTGTTCTTAGAATTTCTTTCTTGAAATGTCAAATTGGTAGCAAAGCATGACCGCATGAAATAAATGCTCTAGTTATCTCTATTTCCCTTTTGTTCTATGCAAGTTTTCTTGGACCTAGTTACTTCTATTATCTATTTTGACCTATATAATTTCGAACTTCTTCCCAATCGGAAAAGGATCTGTCTGTCTGTCTGTCTATCTTTCTGTGTCTCTATCCTGCCTTAACATATGTTTCCTTTAATTGAAGTGAGATAAATTAAATGATACACAGTTGAGATGCAGAATTTTGTTCCCAAACTACATTTTTTTTTTATCAAGCTAAATACAATGACCTGGAACTCATTTGCAGAGTGAAAATTTGAGAGGTGTTAATGTGATTTGTCTTAGAATGGTTAGCTTTCAATGGTTTCAAGATTTTGAAACGACGTCTATGTGCACGATTCAGTCGATAGTCGTAATTTGATTTTTAAACAGTTAAAATTCAGATTATACAAGTAAAAGGAAAAAATATATATATTTGACTGCTTGATCAGATTCCTAAAATCCTTCTAGGCTTGAAAAGTGAAGGTTGGTAACCATGAGAATATAAAACTTGGACCAATAGGTCATAAGAGCATTGGACACACCACTTTTATTTCACTAAAAGTGTGCAATAATTTCATTTCTAACTTTATTTTTCAGTATCAGAGGTTAATATTATGTTGATGCTAATTCTTTGCAGTTTTTTTCCTTGATTACCATTAGGAAAAGTATCCTTGTTTGTGGTGTAAGGTCTAATTTGCTTGGCTACTCCTTTCCCCCAGGTATATCTGATTATTTATACTTTCATTTCTGGTTTTTCCCATTTTCAGAATCATGGTCAAAATTTGTCAAGTATAGCCCACCGCGGCCGACAAGCGTCACGCAGGTGAGTAGGTTGAGCTTGCAAAATCCCTGTGAAAGAGCACATTACTGGACTATTTTTGAAAGACAGACCGCACTAATTCAAGTTCTCCTGGCAAAACATTTTCAGTTTTCTGGTTTCTTATCAAATAGTAATTCATAGAAGAAAATTTATTAACTGTTTGGACATCCTAATTACAACATTGACCGCAAAGTTTTAAGAAATCACCAGAAAACTTAGTATTTAATATCTCTAAATGCTTGGTTTATTCAGAGTGCAAATAAGGCTATGCCAAGGCTTAACTTTTTTTTTCCTTTTAGGTGCTACAGGGATAAATTCAATGGATAAAGTTGAGCATCTTAATCATTTTGTATTTCCCTGAAAATGGATCCTTACTAATTATATTTTCTTGCTCATAAGCCATCAAATGTCAATGCCAATATGATTAATGAGGTCCTAGTAGGAAAAGAGTATTATCAGAATCTTGGTAAAATGTCCACAAAAATGGGAACTAAATGAAGCTTTATTGGATTATATTATTCAAATCAACCTTCTGTCAAACCTTAAAATGGGGTACCTTTCTATAATCACCAACATGCTGGGAATAAGGAAATAAAACGAATCTGGTCACTGATTTGTAAACATAAAATCCATAAAATAAATGTACTGGAGTAGCTAAAACTTAAGATGTCAAAATAATCCAAATAACTCAAAAAACCCAGACTTCAACCAGTTAATTCTCCTCAGCTGCACCATCATCTCTGACCTTCAAACTTATTTCTTTACGAATTGAAATCAAAATATCCCTCATAGTTCTGTAGTACATCTGTAAGTCATAGCTATTGATCAATTTAATGCAGGATGTCAACTGAACTAGCCAATCTAACTAGCCAGCAGAATGGGGAGAATATTCAGAAGAAAAGAAGTAATGAAGTATTATTTTTGAAGAATAATTATGTGGGTGATGAAAATGCAGGGGACCCTAATCAACAGTCAGTCAGGTTGATGCTCTTAATCAGCCAGATGGTGTACTATAGGAACTCTTTTGCCCTATATCCCTAATTATTATAACTTACATGTCTTATTAATTTATTCTATATGTCAAAAAAAGATCGTTGTCCTACTATTTTGATGAATATTTTTATTTATTATGATTATTGTCTAATTATGTATTTTGCATAGGAATGCCGTTGAAAGAGGCAAGCAGGCTAGTAATTTGTTTTTGGCGAAGGTTTGTCTATCTTAAGGTTTTGGCATAAAATTAAACTCGTAACTTGCTTCCCTTTATTTTGATGATGGCTAATACTATGCAGGCTTGGTTCCACAGTTCTCAACCCATGACGAGAAGTCGATCTTCTGAATTACGGTAGGAAAAATGTTCAGATATATATTTATGAGAATTTCACTTATTGCTGTTGATAGTAAGGAGTTTTTGGTTGATCTACATATCTGCAGACATACATAACACTTAATGAAGTCTTTGAAAGCCTGAAATAGGGATTTTCCTTCTTTTCTCTTTTAGCTTTTGAAACTGCTTATTTTTATGATACTCAACTGAAATCATATTTGTTTTGGAAAAATACTGTAGCATTTAGCTTTTCCTTACACTGGACTTATTTCTTTTCTCTGGGAACTCAATGTTCCTAGCTTTGATATGTGGACAATCTGCTTGCCTTGCAGGAGGAGGTATGCTGCTATGCAAAGCACTCAAACGGCACTAGGTATGGAAGCCATGCACAATGCTTCTATACACGGTGTCAATAAGTTGAAAGATGGATATTCAAATCAAAATGGATTCAATGAGGCTCCTACTTGTGAGATTCCAGTTCAGCTAGGCATGTTCGTGTCACCATCCAATTCTTCCTCATCTACGTTTAGTGCTCCACAAACAGGTAACGTTGATAAAGTTTCTTCTGTTGTCAGAATGTTAAAGGGTACATTAGAACGCAAGAATCTGACTAACCAAATTGAGGAAGTAGCTGTTGAAGATAGCTCTAATGGTCTTTATCATTATCAAGAACCATTATTCAACACTAATTTCATTCAAGGACAAGGAAATTACATTCATGACATGATAAGTAACTTTCAAGTATTGCCTGGCCAAGTTAGCGGTAACGGTGTTGTAACAGTTCAAGGGTGGATGAATCTTGATAAAGGTGGTTTTGCAAACCCCACAAACACAATCCAGCCAATCATGGTTTCTCATGAACCTTCACAAAGCGAATCATCTGCTGCTGCACCATTAGTATCATCTGGTCTTGATGCCTGTGATGGCCCCAGCAATTCAAGTCAAACACTTGGTGTTGGTGAGAGTTCAAGGAAACAAATAGGAAGCAGTAAGAGTCCAGAGAATGGTTCTAAAGCCAAAGGTACCAAGTTCACTCTTATTACCAACATGCTCAGAGTACCGGAAAGCTCAATATTTTTCATTTATCATGCACATTACAGCCATATTTAGTTACTACTCTTATTAAAGTGATTTTCCCACATGGAAAGTGAAAATATATTCTAATTTTTATTTCTAAATTTATATGTTTTTATACATAAAAACATATGAATGATTGAAAATGAAAATAATGTTTGAAAAATGATGCTCTAAATTTTGAAAATTATTTGCAAATATACTTGAGTATAACAAGAGATACATACCACTGCACATGATTGTATGTTATAAAACATATGAATTTAGAAAGTTAAAATTAGTACATATTTTCATGTACAACTGGAATCCTAATTTTTAACTATGTTCAAAATTTTAAATTATAATTTCAAATAAATTCTAATAGTAGTTTGTTTGTATCTCAACAAACATCTTAATATTTTTTTTCTAAAAAAAAAAATAAATTTTCATTCTCAAATTATTAATTTTTATGGAACTAAAAATATATTATTTCATTTGAAGAACTTCAGAAATTATGTTTGAATGAAAAAGGATAGAATGCATTAATTCACAGGAGAATGACAATTGATGATTGACTGTTTTAATGTTGTATGACATCAAATATCATAAAAGCTTTTCTATGAAATCATTAAACTTCATGTAAATTTCTATTCTTTGTCCAAACTACAGATCTTAGAGACCGGATAATTGACAATTTGAAGGAGGATAAAAAGGTAGTCTTCTTTCTTGCTACATAGTCTATTTTGTTGAAACCCTGAACCTTGGAGAAGTTTACATAGTTTCTGTATTGGCTGACTACTTGGAAATAATAACAGAGGAGAAATCTAGCCCGATATGGATCTGTGGCATCTGCTTGTTCAGGTAATACTTTTCTGCTTAAAAGTTGTCCATTATTAGCAAGTGACTTACTTGTTCTATGCTCTGGAGCGATACAGACCTTAGTAACTGATTCAATAGAGGAATATGCTTATGAACTGGATCAAAATTAAACGCTGACAATACAACATAAATGTCCCCAGCATAATATGTTGTAAAAATAAAGAAACGATTGTTACCTGTGTTCTCCTTCATGCCATTCCACTTAAGACACTGAATATAAGGTCACAATATGTTTCCCATTAGTCTGGATGCAAACAGAAGGGGAGATTGTTACCTAGTTCTTCTTCATGCCATCCCACTACTAAGATATGGAATATATTTTGACCTACTTCTGATCAAGGGTCAAAATGTATTTCCCATTATCTTGAATGTAAACAGAAGTGTTTTTCGGATGCCTGGTGGAGATAGATGAGTTGGGAATTGGAGACAAAGAAGAATTCATGGAATAACTTGTTAAAGGAATCACTTGGTTGACTCTGATATAATGTAATTTTTAATGGTAGATTCACGCACTGCCTTTATTTATTTCATAACAGTATATGCACGAGAATTTCACCTTTAAGTGGAACAATGGTAAAAGAAAGTACGTCTCAATTACTAACATAAAATATATCCTATCACTTTATATTAGTAATAAGATGGAAAAATATTCTTAGATGGTTTAGCAACACTGATATTGAGATGAAAGTTTCATCTGCCAATCCACTATTTATGGACTTGTATAAATTTTGTTAAGGAGTTATGATAAAACCCCATCCAGAAGATCTAGCCGGGTGCCTATCATGAATCCTAAGTAACCCCAGTAACTGCCACTACCAGCAAAAGAAGCGGTCAACAAAAAATCATCAGTGAATCCCACGACTCCACGATCTGCTCTTCCACAAATCCCAATATCTCTTTGCTTTTATCTCTTTGAATTTCTGATAATTATCTAGAAGCATAAAAGTAGGAAATGCAATTGTAATCTTTTTCTATTTAAGTACTTCAAAATCATGAATAAAGATATAGACATTTGCAGAATTCTCACTGGTCTTTTCTCGCCAAAAGAGAGAGCTTTTTTTTTCCTGCTATCTTGTGCATCTGACTTGGACCAACATTTGGTATCAGAGCACGGTTGTTATGGCTACCAACAAGGAGCGCATCGAGAGCTTGGAAGCGGGACTCGGCGGCCTGCAAGACAGCTTCAGCCGCATAGAGCTGGGACTAACCGAGCAAATGCGAATGCTGGAGGAAAACATCAACAGACTCTCAGACTCGATTGCCTCTGGCCACAAAGGGTCAAGCAACAATCACCAGAGTCGACCCTGACTGCTTCGCCCAGACCGCGACGAAGGTGTAGAACGTGAAGAAGGTAGGCTACCGACCTTCCCACGATTGACTCGGCTTGAGTTTCCTCATTTAGCGGTGGTGACCCCACCGAATGGCTTAATTGAGTGGGACATTTTTTCGACTTCCAGGCGACGGCTGAACACCACTGCGTCGCTCTGGCTGCCTTCCATCTTGAAGGAGTAGCCAACTGCTGGAGGCAGTAGCTCAGCAAAAGGAAGAGGGCCGGATCGTGGATTGGGTCAATTTTGAAGACGAGTTGTGGGTCTGTTTTGGGCCAACTAAGTTCGAAGACTGTGATGAGGCCCTGACCTGCATCAAACAGATTGGGCCTTTAAGGGATTATCAAGAGGTTAGGCAATTGGGTCAAGAGATGGACCCAAAAGGCCTTGTTGGGGGGCTTTTATTGGCAGGCTCGAGCCTGAGCATGCTGACGGAATCAGGATGTTCCGGCCCAGAAGCCTTAAGGATGCTATCGGCCTGGCCCGCGTGAAGACCAGGTGGAGCGCAAGAAAAGGATGAACCAACCCAGACGGCTCGTGACCGGTTCGTCTGCAAACCCCATAGTCTCCAACACACCGACCGGGTGCACTCAGCAAACCCTAGCCGCCTCGAACACAGTAAAACGCATCTCCTGGGACGAGATGCAGCGGTGGCGAGAGCAAGGATTGTGCTTCAACTGCGATGAGCGGTTCTCTGCGGGCCATCGATGCCGCAAAGCGCAGCTCTTACTCCTCAAATGAGGTAGTGTCAGGGAAGAAGAAATCGACGAAGAAGACCCAGAAATCTCTCTCCATGCCTTCACCGGGTGGTCCACAACTCGAACTATGAAAGTACCAGCTTCCATTCGATGACAGAAAATTATCGCCCTCATTGACAATGGGTCTGCCCACAATTTTATCAGTGACCAAATCACAGGCTGATTGTAGCTTTTTATAATTCCAATGACTGCATTTTCAGTCTAGGTGGCCAACGGGGATCCGATGAAATGCTTCAGCCGCTTCAAGCACGTGTCGATCTCCCTTCAAGGGCATCCCGTTCTCCCTAACTTTTTACTCATTACCACTGATCGGGCTTGATGTTGTTTTAGGAGTTCAGTGGCTTGAATCATCGAGGATGGTTGTTTGTGATTAGAGGAGAATGACGATGGAATTTCTTTAAATGAGTCAGTCGCGGCGATTGTGTGGCCTGGACACCCCGCCACTCCTGGTGGCTTCCCTAGAGGAACTTAGCATATGTCGTCTGTTTTATGACAGAACACCAGGTTCCCTCTCCAGTTGAACAGCCCGAGCTACAGCAGCTAATTGACCAGTTTTCTGATCTGTTTGAAAAACCCAAGCAACTTCCTCCTCAAAGAGACGTTGAACATCAAATCTCCGTCAAAGATGGCACTGAACTAGTCAATGTACGCCTATATCACTATGCACATTTTCATAAATCTGAAATTAAAAGACAAGTGTTTGATATGCTCAAGAGTGGCCTCATTCAGCCAAGTACAAGTCCATTCTCATCGCTGGTGCTGTTAGTTCGTAAGAAGGATGGAACTTGGCGATTTTGTACTGATTACCGAGCCCTCAACGCGGTGACCATCAAGGACTATTTTCTTATTCCGACAATGGAAGATATGTTGGATGAGCTACATGGGACCGTATACTTCACCAAATTGGACCTCACTGCCGGGTATCATCAAGTCAGGGTCCACCCTACAGACATAACCAAGATCGCGTTCAGAACCCACAACGGCCATTATGAGTATCTAGTAATGTCTTTTGGTCTATATAATTCACCATCTATTTTTCAAGTTATTATACCTCCTGAGGTTTGTTCTGGTTTTCTTTGATGATATTCTAGTTTATAGCATCAGCTGGGAATTGCACCTCGCACATGTCAAAACAGTTTTTGGGGTCCTCAAACATCATCAGTTTTTTGTGAAGTTCAAGAAGTGCACATTCGGGTGTCAAGAGCTAAAACACTTGGGCCACATCATTACCTCAAAAGGTGTCAAAGTAGACCAATGGAAAATTCAAGCCATGTGGGCATGGCCAAGACCTACTACTCACAAAGTTCCAAGGTTTTCTGGGACTCACAGGGTATTATCGTAAATTGTACAGAACTATGGAATAGTGGCTGTCTCTCACCAACTTATTAAAAAAGGGTCCTTCCAGTGGAACACAGAGGTAGAAACTGCTTTCACTAAACTAAAGCAGGCCATGACCACCACCTCTAATCTGGCACTCTCTAACTTCAATGAAGCCTTTACCATCGAAACTGATGCATCTGGAGAAGGAATTGGGGCAGTCCCCACCAACAGGGCAAGCCCATTGCATATATAAGTCGTGTTTTGGGAGCATCCAAGTTATCATGGTCCACCTATGCCAAAGAGTTACTGGCCATTGTCATCGCCATTCAAACTTAGAGACGGTATCTACTAGGGTGCAATTTTTTTATCAAAACTGATCAATGCAACTTGAAGTACTTGATGGACCAACGGATCACTGCCCCGGAATAGCAAAAATGGGTCTCTAAGTTATTCGGTTATGATTATGAGATACTGTATAAACCAAGCAAAGAAAACCAAACGGCGTATGCCTTATCCCAACAATTCCATAATCCTACAATGCATACTCTCTTTACTGTCAGCACAACTCAATGGGACTAGATCATAAAGGAGTCCGAAAAAACCCTTATGTCTAAAAAATTGTAAAGAAAGCAAAAGAATAACCCAGTCAACCATATCTAGAGAAAAATGGACTGGTCTACTACAAACACCGAGTTATTGTCCCTCCTACATCTAGTATAGTCCGGCAGTTTCTACAAGTCTATCATGATTCTCCTATGGTTGGCCACTCTGGTATTCTCCATACCTATAAATGGCTAGTGCTGCAATTCTATTGGCCTTCCATGAGATAGATCATTCAAGACTATGTAGCAGCATGTGAGACCTTTCAATGATCTAAGTCCGAAACTTTGTTTCCAGCAGAGCTCCTACAACCTTTACCGGTTTCGTGTCAAGTATGGGATGACATTACCATGGATTTCATTTAAGGTCTTTCACCTTCCAAGGGCAAGAACAATATTTTGGTAGTTGTCGACTGGCTTAACAAATTCATTCATTTCTTGGCATTGAGTCACCTATACACCGTCAAAATGGTAGCAGAAAAAATCAGTGAGAATATAGTCGAGCTCCAAGGCATGCCTCAAGTGATTGGGACCCTATTTTCATTAGTCATTTTTTGCAAAAAAATTTTAAACTTTGAGGAACCAAACTAAAGATGAACTTGGCCTACCACTCTCAAATCGATGGTAAATCAAAGTAGTCAACTGATGTGTCAGAACAGTACCTCTGATGCCTTGCACATCAGTGGCCCAATAAATGATGTTCCTTCCTTCCATGGGCGGAATATTGGTAAAACACCACCTACCACTCATCCATTGGAATGACGCCCTTTTAGGCACTACATGGGCAGCCACCACCCACCATCTCTCACTATATGGAAGGCATGACGGCTGTGAATGAGGTAGACCAACAGTCAACTGCACGGGATGAGCTCCTTAACCAGCTCAAGAATCACTTACAAGCAGCACAGAATCGCATGAAACAATCAGCAGATAACCATCGTCGCCATGTGGAGTTGCAAGTCGGTGATTGGGTTTTCTTACACCTTCAACCTTACTGATAATAGACCGTATTTAAGAGGGCTATCCAAAAACTGGCTTGCCGATTCTTTGGGCCATTTCAGATCGAAGCACAAATTAGGCCAGTGGCATACCGCCTCAAGTTACCTCCCTCTTCCCGCATCCATCCAGTGTTCCACGTCTCCCTTCTCAAAAAACAAGTCGGAGACGACACAATCCCCATCAAAGAGCTACCGTCATCTTGCAACTCGAAGAAATTCTGGATATCCGTTGGCTCAAAAAAGGGACACAAGTAGTGGAAGAAAGCCTAGTCAAATGGAAGCACCTTCCCGTAGATGATGCAACTTGGGAAAATACAGACGAATTACGAGACCGCTTCCTTAACTTAAACCTTCAGGACAAGGTTCATTTTCAGAGCAGGAGTGATGATAAAACCCCATCCAGAAGATCTAGCCGGGTGCCCATCATGAATCCTAAGTATCTCCAGTAATTGCCACTACCAGCAAAAGAAGCGGTCAACAAAAAATCATCAGTGAATCCCACGACTCCACGATCTGCTCTTCCACAAACCCCAGTATCTCTTTTCTTTTATCTCTTTGAATTTCTGATAATTATCTAGAAGCATAAAAGTAGGAAATGCAGTTGTAATCTTTTTCTATTTAAGCACTTTAAAATCATGAATAAAGATATAGACATTTGCAGAATTCTCACTGGTCTTTTCTTACCAAAAGAGAGAGCTTTCTTTACTGTTATCTTGTGCATCTGACTGGGACCAACAAGTTACATGTTATGCTTGCTTACATCAGTGCTTCATAAAAAGATGTGATTTCAGAAATGCAATACGATGGTGATCTTCACGAACCTTTTTTTACCTGTTAATTTCTCTAATCATTTGAAGTTATGCAGTGGACAAAGCAGACCCCACAAAGAAACGTAGAGTAGAAAGATCCAGAAAGTATGTAATCTCTCTTAATACTTGGGGGATAACGTTTGTTTCCATGCTATAAATTTGTGTGTCAATACTTTCAGAGTTTATGTTACTATTATTTATTTTTCTAATATGTAAATTCTTGGCAATAGATCAGTATAGCTGGTAACAAATTACATGTTCAGTGATTACCTGAACTTCCACTTGTTGCTATGTGCATAACATAATTATACTTTCATGTGTAATAAAACGGAAACTGTCACTTCATCCTCCAAACTCTCTAAAGACACCTAAGAGGTTGCACATAGAAACAAACATAACTCTGTTCAAATGCAACATAAAAAGATAAAAGAATTATAGTAAGAATATATGCAATAATAGTTCCTAAGAGGCATATATTGCCTTATCTTGTTCACTTTCGAGATTTGTTAATTAGATACCGCCCTCATAATAATAGATGCATTTATTTATGACTTACCTGTACATTTTCAAATTTCTATTTCGTGTTTTCTTGAGAATTCGTTAAGTGCTTTAGATATTTGATTTAAGCTATAGATGTAAATTTGTTTCTGTAAGGGCTGTTTTCTATCATTCTTATACTTCTTTCTTTCTTTTCTCTTTTGTTGAATAATCTTTTTGGTGACTAATCATGAAATTTGAACTCTTAGAAGAAGGATCTAAATTTGTCCTTTATACTCTTCTGAGGCCTCACAGTTGCAAAAAGAAGGAACAACTTAATTGCGTGCTTAGTATTCTCCTCTTACTAACACTTCAACCACAGGAACATGAAAAAGAAATGATTTAATGATATTTAGGCAGCAACAAAATAATATTGCAAGTGGCATGTTCTGAACGTTAAACAATATTTTCTTCCCTTTCTTATTTTCACCTTATATAACAAAAGTTTTGTCTTTTTGGAAGTTGAGTCATTCGTACTTTCCCTTTCTTATTTTCTCTAATCATTTGGCTCCTACTGACATTTTTTGTGGAAGTGGAACATATAAAGGTCATAATTAAATTGTTAAACAATTTCATAGAAACAGAATATGAATCTACAACATATGTACTCCTTGTTGAGGAAATTAGAACTATTTTCAGTGTTTCGTGTTTCTGGGTAATACAGGATGGCGGAGGCTAAAGAAAGAAATTTGACACCGGCAATTCCGTCAGATATGCAAGCAGTCCTCAAACGATGT